CGGTCGGGGGAGAACTCGGCGTCCCTGCTGGCAGGCTCCGACGTCGAAGCCGAGGCGGCGATGGTCGATTCCGTGTGGAGCAGTAGATGTGCGTGGATGCACCGAGCGGCTCGTAGCGAGCACATACTGTCGTCGTCCACCGCTTGGATGACAATGCGCAGCTCGCGCGCCAGCTCCAGCATCTTCTGGAGAACGATGGCATTGATGGCCTCGTCGTCCATGCGAGGGTAACCCGCTCTTGCCATCGCCAGTAGAGCGGTCCAGAATGCCAACAGAGACTCTTTAGGGCGGCGTCGCCTGTCGTAAAATCGGCTGCGGACGTCGGATGGAGGCCTGTACACGTCGGACATCCGTCGAAGGGCCGATTGAAGAGTCGCCCTTTGTTGCCTGGGGATGGTGAGGAGCGAGGCGAGAGCGTCGTCATCCAAAGTGGCCGGTAGTGCTCGGAGCGCCTGTGCGTCCGACCAGCCCACCATCTCTTGGTGGCTCAGGAAGCGACGCTGGAACGCCGCCCAGTCGCCCCCTTCAGATGTGAATTCTCGGAAGATGGGCAGGCGTTGTTGGAGGGCGGACGTCGTCTCCCCCTCAGCTTGTACCGTCTCGAGCCGGAGATCGGCGATTTCCCGGCCGATAGAGTCTACTGTACCGTGTCGGTACAGTGATGACGCGGCGTCCGCTGAGAAACTGGAATTCGCAGCGTCGCGTGCTGATGACGTTGCGGGTTGTGATGGGCCCCCCGCGTTCCCAGGATGCCCCTGGCTTCCGCTTCCGGCGGAATCACGTGGTTCCCCGGCGGGAAAATCAAAATGTCTGCCCTGGCCGATGGCGGGAACGTCTGCCGGCGGTTGACTCGGCCTGCCCGCAACCTCCAAGTTGATCTCTTCGAGAATGGAGGCCGCGGCGTGTAGGAGTTGAGCGAGACGGCCGTGTGCTGCCCTGAGTCCGTCCCCCATGGCAGGGGGAGCAACCGGCTGCTCAACCGGTGGCTGGGCGGCCGTCAACGAGGCAGCGTTTTCAGCGGAGCTGGCGGTGCATGCAGGTGAGACAGCGTTATCTTCGTTCTGGCTCCGCGCGTGGGCTGAACTTCTGGTTTCCATTTCCAACCACTTCTGACTCCAGTTGTAGTGTTGTAAGGACGAGCAGACTTCTTTAGCAGGCACACTCTGTTTATTGTATTATTTCCTTATGCAACGCTTAACACACACAGAGGGATATTCGGTCCCCTCACCCGATACCCTAGGGAGGTACAGCCTCCGGACCTGGCGGGACTCACACGTCTACCGCTAACCTCCTTGATACCTAAGGAGGTACAGCCTCCGGACTTGGCGGGACTCACACGTCTACCGCTATCCTAGTCCTCCGGCTAGGACCTAGGGGAGGCTATCTGACCCACCGCTGGCCCGGTGGGTCCTGACCACTGGGTATGCCGAGCCTTAGCCCTTAGAAGGGCTGAAAGGCTGGTCCAGGGTCCTAGCTAGGCTTCAGCCCAGTCTTCTGTCTTCGTGCAAGGAGAGAACTCCTCGAGGTCCGTTGGGTCACCCGTCTTATACCCCTTCGTGGCCAGGTAGAACCAATCATACATTCCCACGTGGAACCGTCTGATTGGTTCGCACCAAACCCTGGCCACGATCCGTTTCACCTCGACTGACCCCAACCGTTGTACCCAGGGGTAATGCTGCACCGCCCTGGTGGCAACGCAGGTTACGCAACAGCGCGTAGTTAACACCTCTACAGCTGTAATGAGACGATGTCACGACGCGAGGTGGCACCGTGCAAATGTAGCAGCTCACCGCCGACACGCTCTAGGCTTTTGGCAGTGTCAGAGGGGATGTGTAGTGTAGACTTGAGGGTCATGGGGACAGCGTTTGAGTGCTTTGTTGTTTTGTTTATAAATGCCTCACCGTTGGCAGATAAGACAGTGATATTGTGGGGGCTACTGTCCCCCGCCATCACCGAATTGTCTGGGCCATTGGCCCCCGACTCCCCCGTTAAATTCATACCACTACCACAACTGCAACACTCGGTGTATGATTATGCCCGTGGGTACCCCGTGTACCTCACGGCGCAGCTCTACTCACGCGGTAACCACCGCCAGCAGCATCGCGTGCTTGAATCGTGAAATCTTGTTTCATTTACCGTCGCAGCCGGTCGGAAGCAACTAATTAGGCTGCGCTGCTGCGGAATTCCCACTCCCCAATTGATCTCTACGCGCTACACGCGCGGCGCTTGCCGTGAGCGCCGCTGCTGCTGCACGCCCCCGTACTGGCGCGGGCGAAGTGCAACCAGTACCACACGATGCAGAGGCTCACCACACCACGCACTAGTGCATTTAATGATCGAAGGACCCGTACTTTAATTCTCAGGGTGATAGCACGTTACTGCTGCCGCGGCATGCGCGTCGAGCCCCGAGTGGACCCACCCGTGCGAACGTAAACGCGTGGGTGAAATTACTCACTCACGCGCAAACAAAAGAATCACCGCGGGCAGGCTCGCCACACCACGCACCGCCCCTCCGTACTCACAGAGACAACACGACACGGCTTATACCCTACGGACGGTTTATTCCCCACGAATAAACAAACTAGACTGTGCGTGTCAGTACGGACCAGCAGGACAGGTTTAACCTCTCTCGCTACTGCCTGATACCTAATCGACCTGTCTGCCCTCTATTTTCTCTCCGAATTTCGTCCCTTTGTCTTACCTCTCTCCCTCGTACTTACGGTCCGACCTCGCAGCGATGGAGGTCGCGGATAGATGATGCTGTAAACAGAATCTGGTTGTTCTCTGCCCCGTCTCACGGACGTGCGAGTAACAGTCAGGTGACGACTCCTCGATCCCTCCCTCCTGTTGATCTCCAGTCAAGTCAAAAAATGGCCCCGTGCTTCCCCAAAGCGTCCCTCTTCATGCTCCTTTCAAAGCCCTCGCACCGCCCATCCGCGGTGCATCACGGGTCAGGCCGTTAACCCGCGGTGCACCATGGGTAGAGACGCTTAACCCGCGCTGCCCCGCTCCCCCACCTGTCTGCTGGTCCGCGTGTGTCTTGAGCATCTCCTCACTGCGGTTCTCAGTGAGTTCGCCGTGGTCATTTAATTCTAAGTTAAGCCACGGCGCCGTAGTGCCATTTGGCCTGGGGGGGGGGGCTGCCAATTCCCTGACCCTGAGAAACCGTGGAGCACCCCACGAGGGGGCCTCTCGGGTAAAAACTCAGGGCAGGTGCCCCCCCCCCCTCCCCATGAGGCCCTACTTGAGTGTGTGTTTATGTGGGGGGGGGGGGGGTGGCGGGGGAAGTGCTGTGACGGGAGCCGGGTGGCTTCTCGGTCGCAGCAGCACAGCGACGGCTCCGGTTTCGACGGAGCGGCTTCGCTGTTGTGGCACCACAATATCACTTTCACTGGAAGGGTTTTTCTTAATTAGAACACCATATTTTCAGAGGTCACTCACAACAGCCCCACCTAGTGGAGATGTCGCGAGCCGCCACCGAGTGCAATGTAACAAAGCGTGTAGGTCGTGAGCTGCTGGATTTGCACGGTGCAACTTCGCGTCGTGATATAGTCATCACAGCCACGGGCGTCTACGTGACTTTACCAAAAGTATTATTTGTGTTAGAAAAATAATTTCTCATCTGCAGCTGCTTGGTGGGGTGGCGCCCCAACGCCCCAAGTGGATGAACCGGGCCGGTTGAAAACAAATCTCATGGTGGTTGTCAAAGGGGGCCCCAACTCGTAGCTTTGGCCACCAGGTGTGGGGGGTGGGAGGGCGAGGCACCTCCAGTGAGTTTAAGAGGTAAACACGCACATTTGATCGACACCGGGGGGGACGACGATGGGCTGAGTTAACCTGCCACCATGATATGAACTCGAAGCCACTCTTACCGCTGCGATAGGGTGCTAAATTGGCACATCGCGAGCTAGGGAAGAGATGGGCTGATGTTGTGCAGAAATATCTGGAGACGAGTGGACTAGCCGACGACTGGTAACAGCCGTGTTAAGTAAGACCTGTCTCCGTTGCAGGAGGGCGGTTAACACACGTTGCTGGGCAGGTAGAGGCCATTCATTTATCAACAAAGGAGAGCGGATGAGCGGTACAGGAACAACCAGATCATTGGGTGCCAAAAAACACTGCAAGTTGGAACCGCAGGGATCGCAGATAGTAACATCTGCCAATTGTCTAAATCGGTCAACCCATCATTACATCGGTGGTTTGTCCTGAGACCTGACAATATGTGTATCCAGCACTTAGCCTGTTGTTGTGGGGACCGCGTGTCTGTGCGGGGGAGCGGTGGTGTAGTGGTTACCGCGCTGCGCTACGAACCAGGCGACCCGATTTCGATGTCCGCTCACGGCCAAAATCAGTGACGGATATCTGACACCAGTCCTGGAGCCTCGGCTCTGATCTCGTCAAGGTTCACAAACCACCAAGCGAACCCCGATCATTGCAGCAGCAGCAGCGCTTTTGGCTAACCATCAGAGACGGCCACCTGCAACGCGCGCTTTAGAGATGTGCTTCCGCGGCCGTCTGGAACGCTCTTCCGATATTAGAAAGTCACCGGAGCTGTGTACTGTACTTTTACATGCAAATTGAAAACGAATTTCTTCATAAATGCTTTTTGTGGTTAGTTTGTTGTACTTTCCCCCCGCACTTACGACGAGCACGGTAGACTTAAGTACGGTGCGAAAGAAGTTCAACATACACATATATACACAGGTCAAATCAGTCTAACATGAGTATTGTAGCTGGTGCGGTGTATGAATATCGCCACTCGATAGAATAAGGCGGCCGTGCAGGCTTTCATAGGTGCTGGATAAAACAGCCCTTGTCCCAAAAGTATGTTCAGGCTACTAGGGGGATCTTTGTCTTTGTGTGTCTGTGCGTGCACGCGCACACGTGGGGCACGCGCAGCGCGTGCACGAGGCACGCGCTGCGCATTCAGAGGCGTTCGCTTCCAGCTCCAATGCTGCACCGTGGTCTGTTTGGGGGGGCCGGGGGTGGTTGCATTTGTACCCGGACATGTCAGTGTAAGTGCATGTGTGTCGGCGTGTGTTTGTGTGTGCACGAACAGGCGATGTAGGTGTGGCTATTTGTGTACCGCTCCGTGGCCAACACCTGTACCGATGATCGGAACCGGTCCTGGACTCCATCCTAGGGCGACGCAGCCTCAAATGAGTGCAAATGTGCGCGCCTGTTAAATGTGTCAACGTGTGCGAACATCGCGGCCACTGGGGAGACGAAGGCGACCGGGCGTAGTATATCGCCCCAAAATCGTTGTGTTTGCTAAGCACACGTGGTCGTTTAAAGTTATTCGTGGGTCTTTGTCTGTGGGTGACCAACACCACGCCCGGCCGTCTTTGTCTCCCCTGTGCTGATGTTTACACACTGTACCAGGTACGCACCTGAGGCTGAGTCGACCTAGCGGAGTCCCGGATCTGGCTCAGACATTCGTCTCCGATGTTGGCCGTTTACCGGGATCGACACTCGAGCAACGTGGCTCACCACCGCGCCTCACCACTCCTCCACCTCATTTTACTGGGGCACAAAACACGGCCCACGTCACCCACCCACATCGCCTTCACCGGCATCACCCCAAACAGCAGGCATCGAGTTTAAACCACGCGCAACTCCCTTGCCAACGCCCCAAGCACCAGGGTGTGGTCCGGGGAGGAGCGTCCGTTTTGCGTCTATAAAAGCGACCGTCTTGGCATTGCGAATCGCACAGTTCACTCTCAAGAACCCCTGCAGCATCTCATCCATCAAGCACCATGGTGAGTCGCTGTCACGCGCAGGAGGCAGACGATCTGCGCGCAGTGATGTGGATGAGAGACGATGATTTCGTACGGTGTGGTTTTGCATCGAACTCGCATTGTAGATATTTATGTAAATGACGAGAAAAGCGATCGTAACAGGAAGTCCTAAAGCTTCTGGTAGTTCACCAGCATCGATTCAATCAGGCCTGACTGCTGATGAGACACGGTCAAAACCGCGCCAGGCTTGTTGTGTGTATTATATATTTCTGTGTTGCTGCGGCTGTGCACTCCCAGAGGACCGTGGGGACGATGGGTTGCGTCGATGGGTTGCGTAGAAAGCCTTGTAATTTATTTACATTGTAGAGAGACAGATAGGAGGGAGGGAGGCGTGTTCTATGCTTAACTGTTCCGTTCGGAAGATCTACAGGCTCGTAAAAATACCTTTAGGTAATGGTAGTGATAAAAAAAAATCTGCAGAGAAAATTATAGGAAATTTGAGAGGGGCCAAGGGAGAGAGAAAGAACCGGGAGAGTATTAACACTTAAATGTGGTATAAAATTGAGGAAATAATGTTGACAGTGAACGCGAGGGGAAAGAGTAAGCGAAATACTGTATAATTTTAAGAGACAGAGTGAGTGAGACGGAGACGAATCACGTGAGCGAATGACAAAGCGGGAGAAACAGATTCACAGAAAAGGCAAAGCTGGAGAGGGACGTGGGGAGAGATCTGCAGAGAGTGGGGGGCATGAGATCGGGTTTGTGATGTGGGCGAGACGGGAGGAAGACGAAAGAGGGACGCAATTGTGATCCATAGATCTGCGAACGCTGCAGTTGAGCATTCTGGGCAATAAAGTGCATTCAGTTCCATTTAACCACATTAAAATATAGTATTCGCAGTTTACCGGCTTTGTCATCTGTTGCACTTATCCGGAATTCTTCATTACAGTGCTCTTTGAGATTTGATTTGAAATGCGATATTGTGTGTGTAATGAGGGTCCATGCTGTACAGAGAGGACACTTTCCAATAACATCTGGTAAACCAAGATCATTTAGTGATCATTGCTGACTTTGCTAATTGCCCCGGGAAGGCCAATAATGGTCTGAATTTTTTTGTTTAAATCAATGCTGTACGTTAACTTAAGTCTTGAAAGCAACTTAAGTCTTGAAAGCGAATAGATAGAAGATACATTTATTTAGTTTACATTTTTATCAGTTGTATTAATCTACAATCACACATCTTAGTTTTACTTTGAATATTGATCACGATTCATTCCAAGTTACTGTATATAATGATGAACATGTTCTTTTGTTGTCATGCATACAGGCACAAAAAACCAAGGAAGAAACTCTTCTGGATCTGTTTAAAGCTATCGATACGGTACAGTTATTCCTGAATCACACCGAGTTACATCAGGACAGTATAATTCACTTGATTAAATAACCATCAAGTTTCTTAAGCTGGAACGTATACTGTATATTCATAATAACATGATATTCTTTGTTCTCATGCATTAAGCTTTTGATATTTAGAGCCCCATAATTTCCGAGACTAAAATAATGTCATATTTAAAAAATAGAAAGTATATATTTTAGAGAGAAAAAAATGTGTTTACCCCACATATCAACTGCACAATAGGGACTTAGAACATGTGACGCACTTTTGGCAAACTCCCAAGGTAATGCAGCAGTGGCGAATGAAGGCGATTAACTGCCCATTTTACACTCTTCATTATTTGGCCCAGTGCATTGTGAGCTGCCTTTATTCTGGCTAAACAACACAATCACCTTACAGCCAAAATACCCCCAAAGCATGACACAAATTAAATTGTAAGTCAGGGCAGCTCCTGTACACTTGGGTAAGCTACTCATGTTAAGTCCTTCCAGATGAAGCTTGGTTTTGCAATTGATATCTAAGCAGGACGAAATATCCTATAGTTTCACTATCACATATTACCGTACTTTCTATTTTCATAGATATTCTTATACAGTCTCGTCACTTTAATCACCTGCAGTTTCGGGGCAGGGGTAAGGGAAATCAAGAGTTCTGGCCTAAGGCAATTGTCCCCAGGAGTCTAAATGGTTACACTGATAATTATCCTTGTTGATATACGTGTGGTGATGTTGCTGTCTGCTTGTGCGCTATACTCCAGGATAATTCAGGAACCCTCACGGCAAAGGAGATTCTAGCCGTTCTAAATAACCCAAATTTGAAGTCACCTAAGAAGCACACTCTGAAAGAGGTGGAGGCCTTGGTCGCGTCGATAGATACGTCCGGTGACGGCAAAGTAGACTTCAAAGGTGAAATGCACTGGATTCTAACACACTCTTTCTTTCCCGGTTGTGAGATGGACAGCTCCATATACTGTATACCTCGAGTGCCATCCAATCACAACAATACATTCTGTCAGTAAATGTTTTCATTTTACGTTGGTCATCAACACTAACCTTATCACATAAGTCAATGGCCAATGTTTTGGACAGTAACCCTTTCTCAGGGTGTAAAGGGCTGAGAGATTTCCTTTCTCCTGTTTGTTGTTTGGCACACTCAACCTACACACCTTGATGTAATGATGTAATTGCTAAGTGCCACTCTGAGAACTATATTCATTCAGTAACTGGATGGGGGTCCAATCATGGCTGGGTGAACATGTCGTGACTGAGCTTAGTGGGATGTGTAGTGTCCTGGGCCCCTGCCCCCATCACCAACGTGCACTGACCAGCATGGTAAAAACACCCATGACTGAGAAGGCATGGGGAAGTCCTTCATCCAGGAGTGGAGAGATAGACAGCTGTAAAACAATTGTTGGATGGATTGCATCATGATATTGGCTAATGAGACATTTCTACAACTGTAAAATCATTCACTTATAACAACTTTTGAGTAAATATCAAGGGTTAACTGAAAACTAATTTCAGGTGTAGATAGAAAGAATGGAAGTAGGCCTAATTCGACAGATGTGATTCATTGGCTTACACTCATCTCCCTTTTTCCTACAGAATTCCTGCAGGTGTTCAAGTCCCATATGTGATGAACCACCATGTCCTGCCGGCCATCACCAGTTTACTCCAGCGTTCACCTAAAACTTACCAACACTGTTTCTGCCTGAATTTATGTATTGTCCTCCGCAATATCAGATAACATGTTGTCTTTTGCAGAGTGCCAGATGTTAAATACCACAATGCTGTTTTGGCAAAAGTAGGCCCACGTGTTACACATTTTAACAATAACATTTAAAATTTAAAAAGAAATCGGCCCTTAAATAAAATTTTTGTGATTTTTTTTTTTTCCAACCATGTTTCGATGAAATGATGAAAAACATGTGAGTGTGGTGCTCACATCCCAGAAGCCCATTTTTACATCAGCAGAATCGAATAAATTAAGCAGTGCCTCGGTGTTTGGAAAGCCATTGGAGTTCGGGTGGCGATGAGAATTTGTATTTTTGTATTCTCTAACTGTTGATGTGTGGCACCCAAAATAAAAGTTAAATGGGGATTGTATTTCACTGTGCAATTATTTTCATATTGGAGTGTACTCATCTAAACCTTCCAAGAAATCAACATTTATGCCACTCACACATGGTTAACATGCAAAATCTGGCAGTCTTTTCAAACGAATGCATAATTTTTAATTATCAGTAATGTCAATTTATTAGCCATCAATGTAACCTAATCTCATTTAAAAATGGGTATGAGTATTTCTGAATCACTCTTTGGTTCTTTCGGTAAAGTCAGTAAGAAAATAAATGACTTAAATGATAGAATACGACGTTTCGATTGCAACACAAGCAATCGTCATCAGGTAGAACTTCATTTGAGAGAGAGACAAAACACAGACACGGAGACACAGACAGACATAAGCAGAGGGAGACAACACAGAGACGCTTAGAGAGAGGCACACAATATAGACACAAAGACCCAATGCCTCTGTGTCAAGGCCTTAAATAGAGAGAGGGGGGGGGGGGCAGAGAGAGGTGGGTTTACTGGAGCAGAGAAATTAGCATGTCAATGAGAGAGTTATGTGGAAATCCACCCCGCGGCGGCCAGGGGAGAGAAAGACCCAGCAAGCCTGGTAAATTTTAGAGAGAGCTGTGTGGAAATCCACCCCGAAGCGACTGAGGGAGAGAAAGAGTGAATGGACCTATGAGAGCCTGGTACATTTAGAGAGAGCTGTGTGGAAATCCACCCCGAAGCGACCGAGGGAGAGAAAGAGTGAATGGACCTATGAGAGCCTGGTACATTTTAGAGAGAGAAATAGGCAGTTTGAGAAAAAAACTTCGCAATTTTTTTGTAAGAGAGGTGCAACAGAGAGTCGGCTAACACAAAGTTAACGCATAGCCTGGTTGATTACGTTCTCCAAATATTGCTAAATTAGAAGTTAAGTGTGAAATTTTAATCAGTTTTATTTCGGCCTTTTGTGAGTTTTTAAATAACCATACACGATACGTTTACATGTACCGTAGTCAATGTCTTTTAAGAGGAAAAAGGTTAGGCATATATTGAGATATGAAATTCATTCGTCTTTTTCATAATATGATTTACAGTATGTATGTGGTTGATGGTAGATAAACTTTTCCTAAAGCTGGCTTACTCATGAATGCTTCTCTTCTTAAATATTATGCTACTTAGATATACCACTACTTTTGTGGGAGAATCAGGTGTTGTGGTTACGAACCCCAGGACTCAGTTTCCTACTTATCTAAAGAGCCTCGGCACCATACTCGACCAGAATGCCGTTTGATCACCACATGGAAAATATAGTCAGGTCCTGCAATTTTTATATTGGAGCGCTACATCACATTCGGCCACTATTGAGTCATGACATAGCCATGTAGCAAAGTATCAACAAGGCTCGATTATTGCAAACTCACTACTCGACGGGACGTCTGGCAAAAACATTACCAAGCTGCAGCGTGTACAACATTCTCTGACACGTGTCGTTACGGGTACTGCAAAATCCAACCATCTCTATCTAGTGTTTGCGAAGCTGCATTGACTTCCAGTTGCCGAACGAATGCATTTTAAGGTGGCAGTCATGACACAAAGTTCTTGTCACAAATGCAACACAATACCTTGCTAATGTCATCAAGGAGCATAAACTATCACGCGAGCTCCGATCATCCTCGCAGCGGCTTTTGGCTGGCCATCGAACAAAGACGATAGCGCGCTTTCAGATGCACTTCTGCGGACGTCTGGAACACTTCCGATATCAGGAAGCCTCTGAAGCTATGCATTTTTAAATCTATATTGAAAACTAATTTCTTTAGAACTGCTTTTTGTGTTTAGTTTATTTTTCTTCCCTCGCACCTCTGATTAGCACGATTGGCCACGTATGGTGCGAAAGAAGGTCAACATATATTCTAACAATGCAAGAAAGGTAATTTCCTTCTCATTGAAGTTTTAGGGTTAAGTATTGTGATCTCGTCTCACAATCATAGTCCCTCCCTACATCCGACTCCAGTGCAATAAAGGAGCCAATTCCCCCATGTACTGAAAACGGTCATTCCAATGGCAACAGGGAACAGCTTGTGGACAACTATTATCCTGGGTCTAAACATTGTGTCTGTGCGTATGCTGAAAGATGTGGGAGTGTCGGTGAAGCAGAAGGGTTGTGGGCATATTCCATCTATATCTCAACAGTGTACCCTACATATCCAACATTGTACCCTACACACAGTCACACTCATATCACATGCATGTGCGCGAACACACCTCTCTATGCCCTTTACCACACTCATAATGAACCATATTTAAATTGTGGGGTTACATTGGGAGCTTGGGACCGGGAACTTTAGAAGCGAGATCAGAGTTTTCTATAAAGCTCATACCATGGTGACAGCGCATTGTTAGTGACATTATTTGTTGATACTAAATTGGCAGTTGTGCATTAGCAGAGATGGCCCTTCATAGGACGTAAATTATGAATGTGCTTTACTCTTTGGTTCTTTCGGTAAAGTCACGTAGGTAGAAAAATAATAGAACATGACGTTTTGATTGCAACACAAGTAATCGTCATCAGGTGGGACAACCACAGCAAGAAAAACTGCTGAAGTAGGCGAGAGATCTGCCGTGGCACGAGGTTATATAGTAGGCCTCGGCAGTAGGGGGGGAGAGAGAAGGGGGGGGGGGGTGAGGAGGCGTGGCAGAAAGTGGACCACCGCGGCAGCACCCGGGTCACTGGAGTAGAGATCGGAGAGGGATGCAGAGAGAGAGAAAGACAGAGTCGGAAATAACAGCTGACATAGGCAGGTAAGATGGAAGCATCACAGTCAGTTGAGACTTTACCTGGTTAATAACATCCTCACAATGATTGAACAAATCCCTGAAAATAACCGGTGGGGTTTTCTTGCTGTGGTTGTCCCACCTGATGACGATTACTTGTATGTGACTTTCCCGAAAGAACCAAAGAGTATGGATTCCTGCAGTCAAATCAAGATTATTTATGTGCTCATGAATAATGTATACTCTGAGGAGGGTCATTGCCTGAAACATCACCTATTATATATTTTAAATTGTACCGCATTGTTTGAGAGATCATTATTTATATTACTTGACAACATTACAAGAGAAGGAAAACATTAGGGGGATTACTTTTGGAGAAAATGCATGAGAGAATTCCGAACGAGGGCATTATTAGTCAGTATTATTAGACAGAGTATTGTTAGAGGGACCGCATTATATGCTAGATAACACTATGTAACACAATTTTTGTTCCTGGGTAGTAAGTGTTATTTCGTATATGCTTATGTCTAAAAAGTATAGAAAATAGCTATTATTCCCCACAAACTTTGCTTTTGTGACCAGGACAGTGATATTTAGAAATTTACCTATTTTCAATGAGAAAACGGGCGAATTTGTGTCTTTTCATTCACATAAAGTCAGAAAAAAACAACATATGAATCAAATTAACATATATTTATCCTAAATGGAAAAATTACGACAAAAGATTTAGAAGTGAGTCCTTTTTTGAGATTTACGATTATACTGTAAATAACTTTCACGAATCAGCCCCCAAATATAGTCTCCCATCATGTTCTTGTTATACTGTCCTTGGTAGCGGCGTTCAAAGTCCAGTATATCCTGGTGGAAGCGTGTGGGGGCTACCATCCCCCGCTATCACCGAATTGTCGGGGCCGTTGCCCCCCGACTCCCCCGTTCCATTCATACCACTACCCCCCGGTTGTTCTGTGGGGTTCGGGTTAGCGACCTCCACCTCTTCACCCCTCGGGGCCCTTGACTTCGCTACCGTCCGCGTAGGCATGACTTAATTCGTGGCTCGTACGCTTTGCGCTTGCGGCGCGCTACGCGAGATCGGCGGCGTGCTGCGGTGAGCGTGCTCGCGACGCAAGACTCCGTCCCGCACGGACAAACGGGCATGGCGTGCCGATGTGCGATTCCCTCACACACCTGCTCCACGCGTCCAGGCAATAACACACCCGACGCCGCTACTTCTCTCTCACTTGCACTTACTTCCACTCTGCTGCGCTGAATGCTGTAGAAGGACGAGGCTGTGAGTCGTCTCCATAGAGGGTTGAGCCTGGCTGCGCTGGAGCTCGTCACACGGACGTCTCGAACGGCTGATTCTCCTGCTCCGTGGACCGCGATGATTTTCAAGAAGAAGTCTCTCTTGCTACGCTAAGCAAAAGGCATTCAGATGCTTCCGCACCCGCGCCTGCCCTGTCCATTCAGAGGCCGAGTTATTCTCGTCTCTTTCACATTCGGATCCGTGACCTTACCTAAAGCAAAAGGCATTCGGATGCTTCCGCACCCCGTGCTGCCATGTCCATTCAGATATAGGAATGCTCCTGTCCCGTTGTTATTGGGGTCCGCCGTGATCACGTAATTTTAATATCAGGTCACGGCGCGGCGGTGCACGTCAGCTACGGGGGGAGATCGCCCAATTTCCCGGCCGCAGGAAACCATGAAGCTTGATCCCATTAGGGGCTTCTGGATAAAAACCCGTCAGCCAGGTGACCTTCCCTCCCGGCTCTATGTGGGGTGTGTGCGTTTATACGGCGAGGGCGCGCCGCGTCGGCGTTGTCACCCCCCCGGTGGTGGTGTCACGGTGGTGGGTACGGCCCTCGACGGAGCTGCTCCGCTGCGGCGGCACCACAAGCACTCGCCTTGCTCCTCCGAGTATGCTCCCATGTTCTTCTTGAATTTATCAAGATGAGCATGAAGGATATGGACTTTGAGGGACATCCTACAGTCCATCGTGCCGTAGTTCTTCACCAGAGTCTTAACCAGCTCCACATTGTTTTCAGCCTTGTGATTGCCCAGGAAGCCGCTTTCTCCTTACTAGTGAGCTTTTTGGGGAATTTATTGCCCTCCTGGATCGTATTTATCTGTGGTCCGATGAAGACACCGGCTTTGACCTTTGCCTCAGACAGCTTAGGGAAAAAAGTCTTGAAGGTACTTGAAGGCTGCCAACTCCTTATCTACAGCTCTGACAAATTGTGTCATAAGGCCCAATTTGATGTGCAGTGTTGGCATCAG